AGAGAGAGAGAGAGAGAGAGAGAGAGAGAGAGAGAGAGAGAGAGAGAGAGAGAGAGAGATATTTCATGTTTAAGGCAGCTAATCTTAAAATGACCGAGATGCCCTTGCCCTACAGAACTGAAATTTTGATGTTTTATGATGGATTGGCGATACCCGGATGAAAACTCCTCTAAACTTTGGTTAATGAAATAATTCAAATAACGACTTCTTTCGTCGTTTCTAAAGAAACACACTGAATCCCTAATTCCGGTTTATACAGGCACATGTACTAATATGGTTGGGTATCTTTGGCATATTTAAAATCTTGAGGGTAAGACCCCTGCTTTTAGTGCTGATGATAACCAGGCGCCAAGTAACCGAGTGGAGAGAAGCACTCCAATGCTTTTAGAGAGAGCGACTCACTGCTTATGTTATTTGCCATTCAGCAATCGCTACTCACTCCTTTTAGAGAGAGAAAGAGACTCCTGCTTCTGGAGAGCTTTACAGTGTTCATCAATGGAGGTATCTGGATTATAGTGCACATCTATGACCGGAATCCTTTATTTACCTAAATAAAAAACGTAGACACGTTCAATTATCCTTTGATTTTTGACCCCCAGATGTTCTCATCTTTGCTTCATCATGCACCTATCTCTGTTTTTCCTCTTAAGATTTCCGCACAAAAAACCCATTCCACTAATATTTCCTCTCATTTCCTTCTTACTCCTTATCCTTTTCATCAGAAACTTTTAACTAAATCATGCATTCTCCCTTCATCTTGTTCTTCTATTTCTTGTTTGGGTCCTGGTCCTAATGGCTCTGAACAATCAGAATCTTCTGGTTCTACCGATGAATTTGTCCATGAACTGGATCGTCTTTTGGTGCTTTTGCCTGAGGAAATAAGGAACAGTCTTGGCAATCATCAAGAGTTGCAGAATTTAATTGAGGTGGTAATGGACTTGGGTCGAAGGCCCCTGGCTCGTTTCCCTTCTGGTGATCTTGTTTTGTCAGATCGAGCCATCACTTATGCGGACTTGAAGCAAGCATCCTCTCTGGTATCAGACCCTCTTGAATTTTTGAAACTAGGACTGGTGGCAATATTTTATGGGTTTCGTTAATCTGCTACCTCTTTATTACATAACTTCTTTTCTTTTTATGGCTGATTGTGGCCGATATATGTACTTTGGCCATTTAATGGTAAATAGAAAATTCAGCTTCGAATGTTCAAAAAAATGAGAAGAGAAATCAAACTTTGGTTTCTTCCTTTTCTGTGACATGCAATTAGGTTGGCAGATTGCTTCTAATAGTTTTGATACGTATTCCTGCCCAAATTCATGAAGTTCATGAGCTTAAGGTACTAGAAGCTCCTCGTACACTGCATTTAGCCTGGACAGGTTATGGCTTAGCAGTTCTATTTAATTGCAATTTATATGTGGATAGTTTAGCTGGTAGTCAAATCTGGTATGTTGTGTTTGGGGCCTTCTCTCCTGGTTATGTATTTCAAAGTTTGGAAACTTGGTGGGTTTAAACCCACTGTGGGAGTGTCTAATTTCGAGCTGTGTAATTTTATGATTTGTTAGCTCAACAAATTACATTGATCAATGATGGTCAATAGCTTGGCTAAATTATGAGAATTGGTGAAGATTGGGCCTTATTTAATTCGTTTAAAGAACTTGGAGTTGTATATTTAAGGTTCAGGTATAATCAAGATTTGATAAATAATCCATTTAATCTTTACATTCATACTACTAGATGTGCAGTACAAACCCATAAAAGGAAAAACACATGCAGGATTCTGTTCTTGATCTCACAGGTAATCAGACCACAACTTAATGTGTCCTTGATGAGCTTCTCACATCACCCATTAATTGATACTGAATTCTATTGGAGGAAACAACTTATCCACTAACTAATCCTTTACGAATCTACTATGATAACAGGCTTCAATTGTCCAATAACAAGACCAGGGGCATGAAGGAATAACTATGAGGTCATAAAAGGGAGTGGATGTTACGCTCTTTCTATCTCACACCCTGATTTTCTCCAAAATATGAAATATTGACATTTGACAAAACACTTTGATCCCTAGGAGAAAACCTGAGTTTTGTATGAGGATGGATGACCTAGTAGAATGCATTTGGTCTATGTGGGAGTTCAAGAACTAAAAGTTGTCCCTCATAAAATAATGTCAATAAAAGAAAATGAACGAGCCTTTTTGCATTCAGCGAAAGCATACAATAGTTTCACTTGTCTGCTGATATTAGCCTTGGACCATGCATTTATGAGTTGACCATTATGCCTGTAAAATCAAGGGAACCGACATGCAGGAAAATGTTTCCATCTCACAATCATTTTTACCATATCAATCATAATGATCCTCTCTGTTGGCCCTGATCTTCTTTAAAGAAAAAAGTATATTTAAGATTTATATTCTATCTTTAACCCATCAAACTTAATGAATATCATGTTGTAGGTTGGAGATTTTGCTAAAGATAATCGTGCTGGCATCAGTCGAACCTTGCACCGTATTAGTGCCATTCGAAACCGGAAGGGTGCAATTGTTGGTTTGACTTGTCGAGTTGGCCGAGCAATATCAGGGAGTGCAAATATGATACGGGACTTGGTTAAGGATGGGGATTCTTTATTGCTCATTGGGCCTCCAGGTGTGGGAAAAACCACAATTATTCGGTATCTTCCTTCCTATTTCTCTGTTAAGGCTTCCATCTTTTTGTTCTTGGGAATCTAATGAAGCTGAGGTTATGAGATAGCGATCGTTGTATAGGCAAAGTACTTGGAAGTGATACCTATATATCATCTATTGGTTGTTCTCTAAGAAATTTAGGTTTGATAGAAACAAGGATCACATTTGACTTGCAATATTAGTCTCTTTAATATGTTCACTATCTGAACAATAAAGAAACATCACTGTGATATTTGTCAGAAGTGAACTAATATGATAGGAAAAGTATACAAAGAGATTAGTACAAGGTCACAATCACTCTTGTCCATCAAATCGTAGAAATGTAAGTGTGTCACTAACTGGACTCAAAGTTCAATTTTTTTTTTCTTTCTTAAACTTCATGACATATCCCAATCTATCCAATTTGACATCTAATGGCTAGGTATGATTGTGACTTTCTTAACAATTGTAAATGGTTTCATAATATACAATCCCAAAATGATATTAGATAAACATTTTAAAAAGTATAGAAATTAGTTCGAAACCGGAAGGGTGCAATTGTTGGTTTGACTTTGTTGAGTTAGCCTGCAATATCAGGGAGTGCAAATATGATATGAGACTTGGTTAAGGATGGGGATTCTTTTTTCTCATTGGGCCTCTAGGTGTAGGAAAAACCACAATTGGTCGGTATCTTCCTTCCTATTTCTTAGTTAAGGGTTCCATCTTTTTGTTCCTGGGAATCTAATGAAGCTGAGGTCATGATATAGCGATCGTTGTATAGGCACAGTACTTGGGAGTGATAGCTATATATAATTTATTGGTCGTTCTCTACGAAATTTAGGTTTGATAGAAATAGGGATCACATTTGACTTGCAATATTAGTCTCTTTAAATGTTCACTATCTGAAAGTAAAGAAAGAGCACTGCAATATTTATCAGAAGTGAGCTAATATGACAGGAAAAGTATGCAAAGAAAACATTTACTTTTAGTACGAGGAGGTCACAATCGCTCTTGTCCATCAAATCTTAAATCGGGTGGTTGTAAATGTGTCACTGACTAGACTCCAAGTTTTAAAAGAAATTTCTTGAACTCTGTGACACATTCCAATCCATCCAATTTGACATCTAATGGCTAGGTATGACTGTGACTTCCTTAACAATGGTAAATGGTCTCATAGTATACAATCCCAATATGATATTAGATAAACATTTTAAAAAGTATAGAAATTAGTCCTAACTCCTAAGAGGGCTGTTGTTGTAGACTGCTAACGACCAGAGCTGGTTTCTCTTAACATCACTTTACAAGCTGGTGCATATATTGCTATCACACCAATCTGAGAGTTCTTCTAACTTGTCCATCCTAACAGCTTTGCCAGCATATCTATCAATTGATCTTTTAACCTTCGTTACAACAACTTATCAGGTTAAGTTCAACTTTTCTCCAACAAAAGCCTAGAACTGCTAGAATGTTTTGGTCCTCTCATGGAATACATGTTTCACAAATCTACATTACATCTTGATTATTACAATGCATTTTAACATGATAGAAAGTTTATGGTATTTTAGAGCACTCTACCCCTTAGAGATGGATATTGAGATATTCATAGAAGTCTGATGGTTAGTGTCAACACTCTCTTCCCCTAAAACCGGCATGACCATGTCTTCTAAATCCTCTGAGGCTCTGACAACTCTGTAGAGATTAGATATTGATTTGTAACTTGGATGAAAAAGCTTTACTGTTGGATTTATCATTATAAGGTTGCCAAAAAAAGTGATTTATAATGCAGCAGGATTGACTGAAGCGCAGCACAAATTAGGAACCCTTGTGGGACATTGAGATATTCACAAGAGTTTGGTGGTTGATGTCCATGCTGTCTTCCCCTGAAACCAGCATGACCATGTCTTCTAAATCCTCCAAGGCTGCAACCACTCTTTACAGATTAGAGATTGTGTTGCAACCTGGATGAAAAAGCTATAAATGTTGGATTTATCATTATAAGTTTGCCAAGAAAATGTGATTCGTAATGCAACAGGATGGGCTGAAGTTCAGCAGAAGTCAGGAACCCATGTGAAATATCAAAGAAGTTAGCGCTGTCTTATACTCATAACTCATCTGAGTTAATTCAGTATCTATGAAAATTTTATAACCACATATCTATTCTGGGTAGATGCCAGATCATCACATGTAATTTGAACTTATTAGAATAGTATGAAGTACCGCCCTTTGATGTAGGTCTAAGGGGGTTTGGCTCTGACATGAGTGCCCAGCTGAGGTGGGTGTAGGAAGGAAGGGTTTGGGTGTGATTTTGATTCTAATTGAGTTAGGTTCTAGGATTTCTACAGGGTTTTAAGTTCCTATAAAGATTAGGACAGCAGGTTTTTATGCCTTATGAAGGTTTGCTAATTAGGTAGGGTTCTGGTCATGAGGAAGGGTTGCTAGGCCAAGGTTTAGGATTGGTTTTACGGTTTCTTAAGGGTTTAATGCTTGCTGAGATTTAGCATGCCCATAGGAGGATATGAGGTAGATTCTAGGGTTTAATTAGAGTTAATCTAGGCTTGTTTGGCCAGGGTTTGTGGAAAGTTTTGTGGTGATGAATTTGGTTGTGGGGAATCCTAGATGGGCATGCGCTGCACAAGAAGGAAAGGAAAAGGTGTTTCGGCTTATGTTGGGGGAACCTCCAATCCACAAGCTAAGGACTCGAACCTTTGGGAGACTATCTTATCCTAGGCGAGTTGTTGAATCAGTCTTTCTACAAAAAGAATCTCTAAATGTGGCCTATCACCACAATTAAAAACTCAAAAGTTTATTTCTCAAAAATTTGATTGCTTGGGCCAATGGAAAATACATCTATTGATAGAAATTATTCTAATCTACCCATACTTGAGCTCTAAATCAATCAAGAAAGCTTCCTAATCAAACTAGAAAATAATTTGTGGATTCTAATTCATTTAGGCAAAATGGTAATTCCTACAGACGCCAACTCCAAAATATTACAACTAGGAAATAATTCTTCGTTGTCATCATCATCAGAGCCTTTTCTCAATTAATTGGGGTCGGCTACATGAATAGATGTCCGCCATTATGCTTTATTAAGGGCCATACTCTCAGTGAAGCCATAAGTCCCCATATCTTTTCTCATTACTTTCAACCATGCCCTTTTGAGCCTACACCTTGCATTTTTTGAGTTTTCCACTTGAACTAACTTGCACCTCTTAACAGGTGTTGTACTAAGTCTACGCTGCACATGGCCGGCCCACATAAGTCTACTTTCTCGTCTTAACCCCTATTGGTGACACACCTAATTCTCCCGAATGCATTCATTTCAAATTCTATCCCTTTCTGTCTTGTGACTCATCTATCTCAACATCCTCATCTCAGCTACACTCATTCTATGATATATTGTTTTTTAACCACCCAACATTCTGCCCCATAAAGCAAAACTCGTCTCACAACTGTCTTATAGAACTTGCCCTTCAACTTTGTTGGTATGCTGTGATCACATAAAACTCTAGTTGCATATCTCCACTTTGCCCACCCAGTTCTAATTCGATATGTGATATCCTCCTCAATCTCTCAATTTTCTTGGATTATCGACTCAAGATATCAAAAGTGTGCTCTTTTTGGTATTTCTTGGCCATCAATCTTAACAACTTCTTCATCTTTACTCCTATTATTGCTAAACTTGCATTCCATATACTATCTTAGAACGACTAATTTTAAAACCTTTAGATTCTAAAGCATCCCTCCAAAGTTCTAACCTTGTGATGATGTTGTTTAAGGTGTCATCAATCAAAACTATGTCATCTGCCAACAACATATATCACGATACCTCATCTTGTAGGTGTCTAGTTAAGTGATACAGGAAGGAAATGTGGGAAATCGAATACACCATTTCCTTAAACTTTAAACCAGTTAAATCGGCAATAATAGAGAAAGAATATAGTTGTAAATCAAGCAAGAGAAGAACTTTCATATTTCATAAAATAAAATTCATTCTCATAACATATCTTTCAAAATATGACATCCAATATTTTATAAGTCTATGAAATTCTAATTTAACTTGAGATTCAAGTAAACATTTAAGACTTTAAAATACCCTTAAAACAATATTAAAATGCAAAAAATACCCCTGTGAACAGTAACACATGAACAATAATGCATGAACAGAAATTGTGAACAGTAGCGCATGGACAACAACTGTGAAAAGTACCATAAATAGTACTTATGAATAGTCAAAATAGAAAAAAAAAAGAAAAAAAAAGAAAACCCTAGAATTCCAAAAAAACTTAAAATTCTAAAAATAAATCAAAATATAGATCCTTTAAAATTGAATAAAAATTAAAAATAAGCATAGGTTTTCCCACCATCATTAAGTCGTTCATAAATAAGACAAAGAGGTATGGGCTCAATATTGACCCTAGATGTACACCTATTGTTACTGAAAACTCACTTGTCTCTTCACTAGTTGTTCACACACTAGTTATCGCTCCCTTATACATATCTCCCACCAAGTCAATATAGTGTTTGGAGACTCATTTCTTTTCTAACACCTATCAAATCAAATCTCAAGGTACTCTATCATAAGTTTTGTCTAGATCATTAAAGATCATGTGAAGGTCTTTTCCATTCGTCCTAAACTTCTCAATCAATTATCTAAGTAGGAAAATAGCCTTAGTTGTTGACTTGCGTGGCATAAAACCGAATTGGTTTTTTGATACATTTATTTCATGCCTTAGTCGTTGCTCAATCATTCTCTCCTACAGCTTCACAATATGACTCATAAGTTTGATCTCTCGATAGTTCGCACAAATCTCTATGTCTCATTCGTTCTTGTAGATAGGTACCACAATACTTTTCTTGGTTGTGATAGAGGTTTGTTCTTGTAGAGGTTTGTTTTTGTGGTACCACAAGCTGTAGAACAGTACCTATTGATACTTTTCACTTGTGGTACCACAAGCTGTAGAACAGTACCTATTGATACTTTTCACTTGTGGTACTACAAGTGAAA